TCCGCACAAAATCGATCAATCTTCCTTTTTAAGCGACTACTGCGCGTGTGGGGAAAAATGTCGATTTAAAATCGATCGTAGGCGGGTAATAAAAATTTCTTGAGGGGTTTAAATTGTACTAGTCAGTAGCGTAAACGCTACACAATTTCATCCAAAATGTTGTCTGGTACCTCCGGATAAGCCAACCGCACTATACTAGCAACATCTGCTTCAAACGCTTGCAAATTCTGACTTGCTCGTTGAGTTCTACTTCTTAGTTGCGCCTTGTAGACTTGTTGTAGATGGGCATCTCCGTAACGTTTATCTAGTCGAGTGAACAAGGTCTGGTAACATTTTTCTTGACCCTTAGGAATTGATCTTAGGATATCTGCAGCATCCCCTCGTAAAGCAGCAGTCAAGGAAACAGCTTTTTCTTGTTTTGTCCAATGATTGGCTGTCGCAATAGCTTCAAATTGTCCAAGGTTATATGGACCAAAAGGACTTTCCATCAAATGGTGGCAATTTGAAGCTCATATGATGTGTCGTTTCGTCTCTCGGTGATTCTTCTTTTTCTACCGGATCTAAAGCTACCGTATTAATTGGTGGTAGCACTTTCGTGTTAGTTATCATGGTCTCTAATTGTTTGATCTTCTCTTTTACGTCTTCTATCTTGTCGTTTACATTTTTCTGTATCTTATCGACTGTTCTTGAGACTTCTTCAAATTTCTCATTGTTCTGGATACATATTTCTTTAATTATTTGTGAAGTCTCTTCGAATCTTCTAGATACATTTTCGAATGTTTCATCGAATCTTTTGGAAACGTTCTCTAATTTATCATCATTTTTTTTTAAGTTTCTTCAATCATTTGCGAGACGTTTTCAAATTTCTCGTCGAATCTTCTAGACACATTTTCGAATTTCTTATCATTTTTTCTGGAACTCTCTTCGATCTTCATTAAAACTGCTTCTTCTGCTAATTGAAAATGGAATGTCTCTGGGTCATCTCCATTATTGTTAAGAACATTCTTTAGTCGTTCTTGGAGGATCTTCTTGGACCCGCTACAGTCTTCATCGCGTTCTTCTAATTGTTCACGCAACTGTTTTACTGAAAGTTGTACTGGCAGAATCTTTGGTCAGGCACACACGTACTTTGTAAATGTTCTTTCGTACAACGACCACTGCCGAACTACGCGGATGTTCCCGACCAACAATACTTTTCAAAAGTTCAAAAGTCTTTTCTTTTTTTTTAAAGTCACTGCTGAATTTATTTTTTTAATAAATCAATTGTCCTCACACTGTGACACCAACTGTAGCGAGCTTAAATAAAACGAGCGGTTCGAATTTATATAAATATATTTATTTATAACTTTACAGTTCGGTACTATCGTATCAACTACACTTACTCCTATAGTTTGTTTCAAGTTAAGAAAATAACATTACGCTTACGGAGATCAGTGTTGCCAAAACTCTCAGACACTCTCTTTTGCACGGATGTCCAAGATATTCCCTTTGCTTAATTTTTGAATTTTCATTTTCAATTAACATTTAACTGTAAAATCAGAATAATTACTAAATAAAAGCCTTATTATCATTATGTAGTCAGATAACGACATAAAATAGCTGACATACGCACATCTTATTATTATGGTTTTATTTTAAGTTGCAATTAGTAATTAGATATACGCATTCCAAGCGGTCAATATTTTCTACTGATTTCTATGATTCATGGCATATCGTATTCTCACCGAAAAACAAATAAACTGTTGTTACTATAATTAAAATAAGATATAATACAATTATATTTTGTAAATACTATTTATCTAATTAAAATCATTTTCTCTACTTTTCATCTCTTGTTTCAAATGGGCACTTTTGGTCAATTACGTTAAAAAACATTAATTTAATTCATGTTTGTGGAAACGAAAATACAAATTATATAACCCTAAATTGTGCTTGTGTGTGTCGTGGCAACGCCGCGTTTCTATCATCCATAAGAAATACATGGCCCTATCTCCGCAATGTTATTTTCTAAACGTGGAACGTAGTATAACACCGTTACATATATGTACCAAAGTTACTATATTCTAGAATATTCCCACCTCTAATTCTAATTCAGTCAAATACCTGACGGATTGTTCTCTTGCGGTCGAAAGAGAACAATCAAAAAACCTTTTTAAAAAAGGTCTGTCCTCTTTCCGTTAACTAATTCCCTCAATAATCGTACCTCCCTACATTTCAAAGAAACACATGTACCACAATGTATTGCAATGAAAACCACGTTTGACATTTTTCTTAACGTAATTACTATTTAAATGGGAATAAGCAACAATTAAAGGCCAAAGTTAGTTTATTGACGTTTCAATTTCAACTTCGGAAATCGATCGGAAATCTCAAAATACAAACATTATTAAATTAAACAAATTTTGTTTTTTTTTTGTTACTTGGTGAAAAATTCTTCTAATTTAATTTTATCATTTATTAATATGTATTATACATTTTAATCAGTGGCAATGTATATATCTAATTTTTAGAGTTATCGAAGGTACGGTGCTGTCAACAGTTTTTTTCATTTTGACGAACACAGCTCGTGCTTGTTCAATGGGCGAAGAAATTTCTTCTGCATGTTGGTTAGTCTCGTTGACATTAGTTCCAAGATATTTGAACCGAGAAACCCGCTCAATGACCTGTCTATTAAAAACTCATTGTTCACAATTATTGTTGTTATTTTTTGAAACGACCATCATTTTGGTTTTCCTGATATTGATATGTAAACCGCACGTCATACCATTTGTTCTTCTTACATTGGCGCTACAACCCTTTGTTTAACAACTGTCTTCCATTATGCCCTGTCGGATACTTTCCTTCGCCACTGCCTGATGTTCATGGTTTCAAGACCTTCCTCTTGATCTAATTCCTTGGGGTTTCCATCTCTAGATTTCTTTGACAACTCGATTATCTGGCATTCTTACCAAATGGCCAAGTCAACTTAGTTTTGTCACTTTATAAATCCAACGATATCTGCGCTCTGCAATAATTCATCCAGCTCATAGTTCATTTTTATTCACCAAGAACGATCGCTACAATGGGTTGGTCCAAATACCTTTCTTAATATTTTGCGTTCAATTGATCTCAATCGGTTTTCATCAGTGGATAAAAGGGTTAAAATTTTACATCCATATGTGACCACTGGTCTAATTACTGTTTTGTAAATTTACGGAAAATAATATATTCAAACTATAAATTAAATAGCGTTGGCGAGGGAATACATCCCTGTCGCACAGACTTAGATTAGATTAAGAGAGGTGGCCTTTCGGCCTATTCCACTGCGACCTTTTCAGATCTATTGTGGTCCTTTAGTCCTAGATAACATTCTTTAGCCTGACTCTACAAAGTCTAGTAGCTTCGAGATTGTACCTTCAATGTACCTATTTGCCGGTGGATTTTCTTCTCCTAATGCAAAAAACCGCACATTTGCCAGACTGTCACACTGACATAAAATGTGCTCTGCTGTTTCTTCTTCGAGGTGTCGTACTGACTTCTGACTACTTATTTCCTCTGACAGGAAGCTTTCGAGTTTTATTCTTACCGTTTGTCTCCAGGATAATCTTTATATGATGATCTTAATAATTAATGTTTAGTTTTTGCAAAATTTCCAGTAGCTTATAACACTTAACAAGATCGTGTATTTTATAATACGGATTATTATATCTCATGTCTATTTTACATATTAAACCACTAAGTTGTATGCGTGGAGGAAGTCAACAGATTAAATATTGTGTTTATATGGAATTAAGCCACACTTATTGTAATGATATTTACATTTTTAAATAAAAAATTTAGCGTTTCAATTTCACTCTGGAAATTGTACTCAAAAAAGAATATTTAGAAGTTTGTTAAAAAGAATGTATAATCTTGTTAAAAAGAATGTATAATCGTCAAAGTTGTTTACAGGGTTATGTCATTTCACAAAACAAAAGGCCGTGATGTTATAGGCAACAGCCACGCCTTGGCTGAAAATATATGAGGGTGGATTTTTACTCTATGGAACTTCAAATTCTGATTATTCTAAGTGTTCTGCATTATTAATATGTGCTATAAAACATTTGTGTGTGTGAGTGTTTGTGTAGTATATATGTGTTGTGTGTTGCACTTGTATTATATATAATTGTATCTAAGAGTTTCTTAATCCGCTATTGCTGGTATATCTTGTTGTTGACTTCTTTCAATACATCACAATATTTAAAAACCGATGTATCAATACTCATAAAAGAAACATACACGAAAAAGAGAAAAATTAAAGAAGAAACTCTCATCCTACTCAATGAAAAAAAATGTTTAGCAAACTTATCAGCAGAATATAGCATGTTTTGGTCGCCAATACTGAAAGAAAAAGTAACAACAAGAACATACCAACAATAGCGCATTAAGAAACTCGTTTTTAATCAGACCCAATACATATGCGACACACAGCACACATCCAAAATACATAAACACTCTCTAAAACACAAACTATAGCACATATGAATTAATAATACACAGCACTTAAAATAATCAGAATTTTGAAATTCCATAGTACAAAAATTCACCCTGATATATTTTCAGCCAAAGCATGGCTGTTGCCTATAACACCGCAGCCAAGTGTGTCAATTTTCAATTTTATGAAATGACAAAAGTCCCTTAAACAACTTTGGCGGTTATCTATTCTTTTCACCAGATTTCTAAATAATCTTTTTTGAGAGCAATTTAAGGAGTGGAAATCAACACGTCAAACTTATGTAAAGAAAAATGTAATTATCATTATAATCAATTGCGTCTTAATCCCATATAAACATAATAGTTTTTAGACATGCTAGAAGAAAACAGTTTCAGAACCTGGGTCAAGATACTGAGGATTTATATTTCCATAATTATGCTAATGGTTAGTAGCACACTAGTTAATTAACCTAAAACGACAGTGTAAATATAACTAGAAAATATACAAACACGCCGAATATTTGTAAAATTAACATGTTTTGTTCCAGAAAAATACCAGCTACTAACTCAGATACACCTTGTTCTGCTCGAAGAGTTTTGGGGAGCATAGAACGTTCCATTCAAAAAGTAGTTCATGTACTAACACCAAGAAAAATTGAAGATTCTTTCTCTAGTCGTCCAGCTGTTCTAACAAACAAAGTAAGATCAATTATTATTCTTTTTTTGTATATGATCTCAAAAGTATTTTTTCTAGGAATTATTTAATGTATCGACAACACAATGTAGAGATCCAGAATTCGTAATTGCTGAGCTTACAAAAGCTTTAGAAAAGAAAGGTGTATTTTGTAAACGAAAGGGGTAAGTTGTTTGATTGCATACATTACTTAATCGCCGTATCTAGTTATAACCATTATCTTTATCATTATTAGTATGTCTTTAATTTAAAACCGATATGCCATTTTGGTTTTGTCTGTAAACGCTAATTATATTCTTACGCATGTATTGCAGTGTTTTATATTATTAAACAGCGGGTAAAAATATATTCGGGTATGCCATTTGTATAATTTTATACACGATCCCAAAATAATGTTTTACTAAAATGTTCGTTTAGAATATTTTAGTTTTTTTAGTATATTCAAGGACTTATTATTATCAATAACTGAACAATATTTGTCCTTCAAAAAAACTTTAATAAGTTCTTTGGTGAAACCTTTTATTTTAATACAAGTAATACTACGGTTTATTATGTTTAATATTTATATTATTTGTGTTTTGCTTTTAAAATAGTTCACAAATAAAGATTCAGAAATCTCCTGTAAAATCACCAATAAGCGAAATACAAATAATTAGTAAGTAAATTCATCCTGGATTTTGAACATGTGAAAGATAATTTAGTTCGTTAAAAAAAAATAAGAATAATACAAATACAATTTTGAAAACAATAGAGGACAAAGATTTAGGATAGACTATATTCTATCGAATAGAGAGTTACACCCCTCTCTAACCTTGGAAGTAAGAACACTAACAGCAGAAATAGAAAGCGATAATAAATTGGTATTGTGCAAAATCCGAATGAAACACAAAACACCAGAATACACCACAAAGATAAAAGTCGAAATCTTACAGGATGACTCCGCTAGATATTCCAAAAAAGTATAACATAAAAAAGCAGAACCACATATATCACAGAAACTGATGGATTCGAAGAAAACTGGGCAAAAATTAATTGGGTCTAATATGTTAGCCTTGGCCAAGGACGTTCTCGGTGAAAGAAATATAAATAAAAATAAATCGTTCACAAGGCGAAGAACTCCATGGTTTTGTATAAAAGTGGAGAAGAATATAAATAAAAGAAAAAAGCTTACTTGAAATCCTCCTTCTCAATCTTTTCTCCTGCGTAAGGATGTAGTGGCGTCATGTAATTTGTTTAACTATTTTGTCCAATTATCTCTCCTGTGCGTGTTGTTTTGCTTAGGAGAATGAGTAACCAGTCATCTCCTTCATTTTTTCCGACCATCGTACTGGAGATCTTCCTCTGGATCTTTTACCCTCTACGTTACCTTTAACTATCAATCGCTCCATATCTTTTGTTTTTCTATTTATATGTCCAAAATATTTCAGTATATTTTGGTTGATAGTTGTGATGTGTCTAGTTTTTATGTTAAGTTCTGCTAGAATTGAGTTATTTGTGTTTTTCTATTTATATGTCCAAAATATTTCAGTATATTTTGGTTGATAGTTGTGATGAGTCTAGTTTTTATGTTAAGTTCTGCTAGAATTGAGTTATTTGTGTAATGGACGGTCTATGGTATGCGCAACATTCTACGGTAGACCCACATTTTAAATGCCATTATACGCTTTGAATCGGCTTTTTTATTGTCCAAGTTTCTGAAACATAGGTGGCGAATTATCATGCATCCCTGTCGAACTCCACATTTTAATTTGAAGTTTTTCGAAACCACATTATTAACTCTTACATTATCAGTATTATTTACATATAGTTTTTGTAATAAATAGTATTGTATAATAGTTAATAATTAGTATAATATAATAAATATAAAACATTTTACGTTATTGGAGGCTTTGGAATAGTCAATAAAGCATAAATATGTTTCTATGTTAAACTCTCGAGATTTTTGGATAATTTGACGAATATTACGAATATGTTCTCTTGTTCCTCTACCTGGGACGAATCCGCATTGTTCTTGGGGAATTTGTGGTAACAGAATTGATTTTAGTCTTTCATTGATGATGGTTAGAAGTACTTCACTCGCGTGTAATATCAATAGTACTGTGCGGTAATTACTGCAATCTGTCTGTGAACCTTTGTTATATATGGGAATAAACGTGAGTTTACCCCAATCATTTGGCCATTTTCAGGTATTTCAAATCTCGTTGCAAATTCTAAGCATTACTTCCGTGCCTAATTCTCCCATTTCTTTGAGTGTTTCAGCTGTTATTCTATCTTCTCCTTCTGCTTTTCTGGATTTTAGTTTTTTAATTGCCGCCTCAATTTCTGATTTCAATATTTGAGGTTCTTTTTTATAATTTCTTTTCTCTGTATTATTGTCTGGATTGTTGTTAGAGAATAGTATCTCGCAATATTGTTTCCACACCTTTGCGATACCGTCTTGGTTTGTTATGATATTTTCACTAATATCATTGATGATCTGTGTTTGCGGTTTGAATTCTCTCGCTAGATATTTGACTTTCTATTTGAAGTTCTCTAGATTCTTGGCGGTCAGCATGTTTGTCTAGTTGTACACATATATTTTTAACATAATTATTTTTGTCCCTTATGAATAAGTGTTTTATAGTTGTATTTATGGTGTGTATCTCTAGTTCTTTTTGTTTTGAATTTGATGTGCCGCTTCTAAGTTTTCGTCTTTCTTCTACAAGATTGAGAGTCTCTTCAGTCATCCAATATTTTTCCTAGCTGTTTTGTGTTTGGGATTAGTATTGTTGATGGCTTCAGGTTCTTTGTGTATTCCCACGTTTTGCCAGAGTCTACGGTAGTCACTAGTAGGTCAGCTTCTGCTAATGCTTCTCTAAACTTTTCCGGGTGTTTTGGAATCAATTTTTATTTTTTATTTGTGATTGTTTTATTGTGTTATTTAATGCGAAATTCTGCTTGTAACATTTTGTGGTCGGAACCACAGTCTGCAGCTGGTTTTGTCTTCACGTTGATTATTGAACTCCTCCATGGTTTAGTGGCAAAAATATAATATATTTGATTCTTGTATCCTCCTCCAGGCGAAGATTATGTTGATAATCTCCGCGGATGATGGTTAAACATTGTGTTCCATATCGACGGCACGATCCACTAAGATCCATATCGACTGCAAATTGAAGGAGCCGTTCACCTCGTTTATTTCGCTCACCTAAGCCATGTTCATCTATCGTTCCTTTTAATAAATGGTCATCTATTTTAGTTTTTTATTTTTTTGCATTCCAATCTCCTATTATCATCATTGGTTGAAAAAATGCGTTTTTTTACGTAATGTTAAGTTTGATCTTCCAGTATCCCATTTCGCAGATGTTGCCTGGTCGTTCACAATTATCTACCCGGTTGTCCATTTCACACTATTCGACCCGGAATCGATATGGCGCAGCGATATGGCGAGCACAGAATTTTCTTGCTTAGTTGTCATTTCATAACGCTCTTCGGGAAGATAATCAGGTGGTTTCTTGGTGCCTGCCTGATCGCAGTCTAACAGCCGGTTGCACTAAGATGTAGTTGTCGCCTTTGAATAATTTACATTGGACCTATATGGATCATAGAGCCCCAGTGCAATAATGACATAGCTGCTGCCTTATGTCATGCCCTCAGTTGATCCGCGGGTACTTATTTGGTTGGACCTTATTCGCACCTGTCCTGAATATCTACAGGAACGTTCCCTATCAGCCATTGAGACGCGCCGTGTCGGGGTTAAGGAGTTTCCCCGCCCAGTCCGTCTTCCGTGAAGTGCTGAAAAGCCCCTACTCAGTTCAGAGCTCTTCTCCCACGCAAGCTATAACTAGCACGGTTTCTGAAACACATGTTTCAGGGGTTACCTGATATACATGTCAATAAAAACACAAGAGGCATACCATAATTACAATACAATAAAAAACGAAACACATGCACTGGTTAGAAAAATAATAAATGATCACTGGGAATGCTTTTCGAACGAAATGAAACATGATTTTTATCTCCTGAAAAAGGATATATGGCGCTTTATAAGGGGTCAAAGAACGGAGGTAAACCAGAGGAAGAACAAATGGAACAAAATTTCTGAATTATTAATTGATTATCAAGGTTAACTTTATTTAAAACAAAACTAAAATATTACAATTAGCCCATCCAAAAACTGATATTTATTTATAAACCTTTAAACTGAAATGAGAGCAAATGATAAATGTTAAAAATTTAACAAAACTACTTTGCTAAGACGCCAATAGACACTACGCAGTTAACATTTTCTTTAGACATCTCGCATATACACTTGGGTGAACAAAACTTCAGATTATTGTTACGTACCAGCCAGGGGTGTACCAAAAAAATTCTTATACCTTTTATATATTTAAATATTTGATACTTGCCACATGCCACAAAGTGTAGTCAAAAATGATTTAATGAACACACTCTTCATATTCATTATTAAGGACAACATCGCCAGGACTGTACTAGTCGTGGTTTTCACCCTTCCGACTTCACTGCCATTCCTCCATCATCAAGCTAGGGTGATTCCAGAATACTTCTAAAAACACCCTCCACCTCCTCTACGCCTAAGAAGTGTAAAAGTTTCACTATATTTTGCCTAAAGATGCCCTTTTTAATCAAAAATTGACAACCTTTTGTACAGGTCCTGACTTTTTTTATATGTTGCGGCTTTACTCTGGGACTGTTTCTGTGATGTGCGCCACTGTAATTTTGTGGATCTTTTTTTATTCTGCACTTATCTCAGCGTTTTTTCCCTACTTCGAGCTGTTCTTTATATCCGATTTAATCCAATTTTGACTGAAATCGGAGAGAGATATTTGTTGTTTGGATCTAGATCGCAAAATTTAGTATGTTGAGTCACCTGCTACTGAAGGATCCTCATGCATTATCGAGTCAGTTGCCCAAATATTGGCACTCGAAGTTGGGGAACATTTCTTTGCTAACTGAGAGAAGAGAATATATATATATATATATATATATATATATATATATATATATATATATATATATATATATATATATATATATATGGTAAAATGTATTAAAAAATATTACACATCGAATCGGCAAAATCTTAGCCAAATGTCTTCAAACTAAACATGACGATAGAAGAAAGTCTAAAATCGGCCAAAAGTCCAAAAGAACCGTTGTCTAC